CCTGCCTCAGTGTTTTGCAATCTATGCTACCCTGCAGGCATGTGCCCGCCCCCTTCAAAGCTCAGGAAGTATCTGACAGCTGAGTGAGCTGCTCCCTTTGGGGAACAAAGAACAAATCATTGGATTGCTCCTTCCTTTTCTGCCCTGAGCTAGGAACACAGCGGCAGGCAGGCTGCTGCTGCAAGGGAGAGCCGGGAGAGACAGCTGTGCTGCTTTAAACTCATCAGCATGGAGAGTTCATAGAGCAGTTCTGCCTTCCCACAACACCTCCTTGTGGGATGTTCACTCACATTGCTTTGCTCTATCTGCCAACAGGATGTTAGCCATGTGGCCATGAAATGTTAACAGTGGGAGGCAGAAAAACGGCTTTGACCGGTTTTCACTTTTGGCGACTTTTGCATGTCTACAGCACTTTTGTCACCAACCTTTCCCGGTGTAAACGTAGCCTCTGTCTCTTCTACAGGGAGCAGCTCACTCACACTCCACCACAAGAGTCTTTTTAACTGGTCAGTGTCCCTTTCATCTCTAGGTTCCCAGCTTTGGCAAACAGTTGAATGGCTGGAGCATGGAAGTACCATCTTCATGGCTAATAGCTCAGCCATTGTCTTGGAATTGCCCCAAAGTGTGTGTTGATAAGTTGCTTATCTAGGGTCAATTGTTGTTTTGGGAGTTACTATTTCCAGGGCTTGCCGAAACGTGGCGAGCCCTGCTCGCCAGCTGCGCTGTCCGGCGATCTGTGCCCGAACCCAGCTCTTCCGGATTGCAATCTACTCGCCACGGGAGAGTAGATTGTGTTATTTGTCGAGCCCTGCTAATAGCCAAATATAACTATGCAGTAATCTGTACCTTTCTGATCAATTCATATCCAATATTCATACAGTAACCCATTTAAAGATTTTATTAAAGCTAATGTTTGTAATCAGTTTCACACTACACACGTTAAAAAGGAAGGCATTGTATGTCTGTGGTCGAGCTTGTGTCATGAGAAATTACAGGTGTCGGTTACAACGTTCACAAGACCCATTGAGTACATAACCAGCATTGACCCAGATTGAGGGTATGAGAGTTTTCAAAGGAGCAGAGAATAAATTCTGGGGGGCACCACCTATAAAGTGTACAGAGGCAGAGTCAGTGGTGGTAAAGTGGTGTCCCTCGGTCCATTGGTGTCTGGTAGATATCAATGTCTCGTGTTGTGGTTCTAACGTGAACTAATGTCACTGTAAATTCCATTTCCTTAGAATCAAGAATCAGAGGGGTAGCCGTGTTAGTCTGAATCTGCATAAACAATGAGAAGTCCTGTGGCACCTTATAGACTAACAGATTTATTGGGGGATTAGCTTTCATGGGAAAAGACCCACTTCGTCAGATGCATGTAGTAGAAATTCCAGAGGCAGGTGTAAATAAACAGGCACATGAAAAGAAAGGAGTACCAATCAAGAGGAAGGCCAGAGATAATGAGGTCAATTCAGTCAGGGAGGATGTGGCTCACTTTTAGCAGTTGATGTAGAGGTGTGAACACCAAGAGAGGGGAAATTGCTTTTGTAGTTTGTGAATGGTTAGCAGATTCTGACCTCCCGAATCCTCCCCTCAGGTTACTGGTATTTTTTTTTAAACCATCTGGCAACCCTACGGGCGAGCCTGGCGGTTGCCCAGGGCCGCCAATTGGTTAGGACTGGCCCTGGGTACAACACAAAGCTTTGAAAACAAATCAGTGCAGATATAGCTGAATGGCATATTATATGCTATTGTCATCATCTTGATGACGCCTGTGCTTTTCTCTTGGTCTTGTGTAGGCTTCTTTAGCTATATTTGTGTGTCTGCTGCTATTAGCTTCCTTAGTCTGACAGTTACTGTCTTTCTGCTCATATTCTGCTTTTTCCTGTACATTCTTATCTGACATGAGAACTACTGTTTGTTGCTGTGGCTCTCAGGACTTGGTTCTTTCTATTGGTTTGAATGATTCCTGGCCAATTTCTTCGTTATAGCTACAAGCTTTTGCTTGTTTTGTAAGGTGTTGCCAGGTTTTCTGTGGGTGAAGATCTTCCTACAGTTTAGATGATAAAATATGTTAGATAAATCCTTGGTGTTTTTATATTGCATAATGGCAACACCTTTTTTAATCTCTGTGGCTCTTAAAAGAATCTTCTGTGATTCCATGTCAGTTCTGTGTAAGGATCCTCCACATCACATAACATACATGTGTTTTTAGACCTTTGTGTTGTTCGTGGATGCCTTTTTTGAATTGGTTTCTATTGTTCATTGAGGAATCACAATCTCATCCCAGTGAAATCAGAAGCCAGCTGAGGGGGAAAAAATTCGTAAGAACCTTATTGTATACAACAACAACCTGAAAGCTGATTTTTAAATTGAAAAATAGCTATTTTAATCCCTGCAGAATCAAAATATTTTTTCATGGGAGGCATGACCCTCTGTTGTTGGTCGCCATGGCAACAGTTATGCAAATGAGACTGTTTAATTTGACTAAAAATCATTATTTTTATGAGAAAGTAATCATCTAAAATTGGGTGAAGATGTTTAGTCAAAGTATGGTTTAACGCGTTGCCTACCTTCACATGTATGGTTTCCATGGAAACAGGCCTAACTCTACTATGCAGAATGGGACACCACATATTTTTGTAATGTGTATTCATGGACCTAAAATATTGTCTGGCTGATGGTTTATCTGTCTCTTTCTTCACCACCCTCCTCCAGAAAGTCTATCCTAGATCTATGAGAAACTTCCTTGATACCTGTTTTGCCAAAACCAATGCATTCTCAGGAAAAGTTTCAGCAAATTCTCCTGCAGCACACTGCAGATGTGAAACACTGCAAACTGCTGGCCAGGGTGGATAAAAATATAAGTTTTTTTTTAAAAATTGGATTTTTTTTAAATTTAAATTGGATTTTTTTAATTTAAAAAAATTACCAATAAAGTATTATATTTCTCATTTAAAAATAATAGCGACAATGACATTTCATCACAAACATGCTAAACGTACACTCACCAGCTCATAAAAACGAATTAATGGCTCTAGTTTACAATTTCTGTTTCTCAGCAGACTAAAACGTAATTTGTGCAAATACAGACACAGGTTGGAGAGGATTGTTTGTGTTAGGTGCTTCTGTGGTGGTGGACCTGGGCCAAGCATGGCGGAGGAGTTAGTTAAGACATTGTCTTGAAGACAGAGACACAATCTAGAGGAAAAGGTGGAGGCAGCATAGAAAGGACCAATGGAACAGACTGGGAAAAAAAAGGGGAGACATTATTCAGTGCACACATGGATTTCTATATTCTCCCACACTTTTGCCACAGAAAAACTCCTGGATTCTGGGTATAAAAGAGACCCAATCTGGAAATATTTTGAAGAAATTTGTTCCCTGGGTACAAAAGGAAAATGTGTCAAGTGTAGGCAGTGCAAGAAGATGATGCAGGGCCTTGTTGCAAGAATGAAACATCATAAGGAAAACTGCTTGTCAGGAGCAAATGATGTGAATTAAGATATGGATCTGGTTGAGTGGTTCCACTTAAATAATTCACTTTGCAATGTGTCATTGTTCAAGACTCTGCCTTTTTCTAGAAGGGTGATTTGACAAGTAAATTCTCAAGCTGTTCACTGTGTAGGGTTGCTAGATGGTGTCAACAAAAATACCGGACACGCCTTGACATTACATCACAATTGACATTACATCTTATTTAGAAAATACTGGACATTTATATCTTCTCAATTTGTTTCCCGAACAAAAAGCTCAAATACTGGACTGTTCGGTTCAAAACCGGACACCTGGAAACTCGATCACTGTGTTGGATGTGGCTAAAAAAAAAAGTTAAGCTGATCTAATCCTTATGGCTTGTTTAATTGGTTAACTAGCTTTAGAATGTGTCACTCAAGTATACAATACAGAAAGCTGCAGTACAAGAAATCTAGAGGTGCCAATTGCCACTGAGTATCATTTTCTTACTGTATACAGCCGGTCCCCGAGTTGCGAACGGTCGACTTACAACCGTTCGCAGTTAGGACCAAAACTGTCGTAAATGGCGGATCCTGAGTTATCAACGCAATCCGCGCTTACGAAAAGCACGGTTGCGTGTAAGTCTATGGGGTCCGACTTACAAACAAACTGAGTTACGACCAATTGCTTGGTCTGTAACTGGTTCATAAGTCGGAGAGAGGCTGTATTGCGTAATACACGTCCCTTATTTTGTAACATCTTGGCCACAGACCGTAATGGTGATGACACAAGTCTAGACCCTATTTTACTTCAGCATAACTCAGCTTTTCCAAGGGAACCCCATTCTCAAAAACCAGAAGTGCCTGTAAGTTCAGTGGGGCTTACTCCACAATTAAGTGCACTCTCAGCAGAGCCAGGCTTAGCTTTTGTATCTTGATTTAAATCAGTTATTTAAATCAATCCACTGTGCTGCTGGCAACGACCTTCCAACCCCTGGGAGATATGGTTCACCCTGTGCCCCTTTGCAGGAGCTGAGAGTGGCTAGATCGTGCTTCCTCTTGTCCCCTAAACTGTATACTTGAGGTAGTGTTTAGAGCAGTGTTTCTGAACCTTTTTTATAAAGTACTCCTTTTTCAAAAAAAAAAAAAAAAGTACCCCCAGTACCTACAGTTTTCAGACACACCATTTTTTCCCACCATTACATCACATTTGTTTAAACAACTTAATCGTAGCCGGCCGGCCGATGAAATTTTTGGGCGTAAAAAATACAAAAATAATACAGCGCTGTAAAACTTAAAACAAAAATTCAGTTTTCTCTCCGTTTCAGTTGTGTTGAAATGAACGCGTATCACTGGTTGAGAAACACTGGTTTGGAGTGCCCAGCTGCCATGGGAAAGGGAGTTCTAGGAATCGGTATTGAATAAATCCCTGATGAAAGCCAGTGGGAGCTATGCCTGTTTCCCTGCAGGTGGTTTTGGCCCACTGCTGACATGTGTTTGTATGGCATCTGGCTAGACATAGCGGATGCACGCTATTGCAGATCCCACATGTGTGGACGCGGGGAGAGCAGTCACATTTTCAGTTCCCTGGGCTAAGCTGTGCAGGACCCTTGGAGGTCCTGTTTGCATAGATCAGGCTGATGGGAGAAGAAAATCGGGGGATTCTGACCCGGTTACTCCCCAGCTGTGGGATCCAAGTGGCTTTCTGAATTGCAAGGCAGCCTTCAGGAAAGCAGCAGCATGAAGAAATGGGCTGGGAGGGAAGCTGGAGTCTCCTGGGGATGCCTCGCATTGTTCTTGCCCAGCTCTCGTCACTGTCACTAACTCCGTTCTGTGGCGTGTGCGGGGAGGCAGAGGAGCTCGGCCAAGCCTTGTCAGTGTTAATTGCAGGGTGGCATCGACGGAGCATCTTGGTGACAGGTGCCTGGAGTCCCCAGCTCCCCCACAATCCGTTCAGATCTTCGCAGTCTCCTCCTCCCTGCTACCTCCACCCCCACGGCCGGCGGAATAATACAGCCATCCTTTCTCCTTTCAGAGTAGGCTGCTGAGAGCTCCGTGCTCGCTCTGGACCTTCCCAAGACCATTTCGCCGCCTTCCGTGGGGCGGGAGGAGCAAAGAAGAAAAGAACAAACGGACTCAGAATAATCCCCCAAGAGCACAGACACGTTTTCAGACCATAGTCCTGCTGATTCCTGCTTCAGGTGAGTTGGCTTGCCAGGGAAGCTGTGATTTCCCCCACGTGCTTGGGGGGACCAGGCAGATGCCTGTGGGGATGTGTGGACGCAATAAGGGAGGGTGAGGGCTTCCCCAGGCATGTGGGTGAGGGAGCTCTGCTGTCTTGTGCTTTCTAAAGGGGGCTACCCAGAGGGGGTGACTGGGAAAAGCACTCTGCCCCAGCTGTGGAGCGATTGTGTTATGGGGCTATGTTTTGTGGGGCCAGAGACTGGTGTGAAGCAGATTGCATTGGGGTACCAGTCTGCAGCGGGGAGATTATTTCTTGTCTTCTGGGAACTGGACAGACTTTGGATCAGAGCGGTGCAGTGCCCTACACAGTCATCTGGAGTGGAACCTAACTCCCTAATCCATCCAGTCCCCTGGGGAATTTGTTCCTGGCTCTGCCACTGCCTTGCATGGCCTTGGGCAGGTCCCTTAGCCTCTCTCTGCCCCAGCTTCCCTGCTTGCAGGGGACCAGAGCTACTCAGGCCGTGTGTGCTGGGGAAGGCCTGGGGAGAGTGACTGCACAGTATTGGCAAACAGAAGGGGTGATTTTTGATGAAGAGAAGAAAGAATAAACAGGGGAAAGGAGGTTTTTTCCTAGAGCTTCGCAGGCAGCCCAGCATACCCAGTCCAGAGCTAGCTCAGCTCCCCCACCATTGTGCATGCAAAGGGGCTGCTCCATTCATCCCACACAAAGGACACTGCTCTTCCCAGTGACCCTTGAGCCTGACCCCGGGGAGCCCTCAGGACAAGAGTGGGCGGGCACTGGCTCCTCCTGGCACTCCCGTGAAGGGCAGTTAGTGCCACAGGGTAGGAATTGCTTGTTGCTCACACCAGTTTCCAGGCAACTGAGGAGAGCTCCAAGGCTAGCTATCTAGCCAGGGCTGGAGCCCGGTCCAACCAGCGTCTCCCTGGAGGGACCTCAACACTCCTTCCCTTCTGCCTTCCCTCTCCCTTCCCAGCAGCTCTGGAGAACTCCCCACCTTCTGTCCTGGCCCTGGAGAACTCCCCTTCTACCCTCTGCCCCCAGCTCTGGAGAACTCCCCTCTGCCCATGGTACTGGAGAACTTCCCCCTTTTACCCTCTGACCCCAGCCTTGGAGAACTCCCCTGTGCCCATGGTACTGGAGAACCCTCCTCTCCTCTGAACCTAGCCCCGGAGAACTCCCCTCTGCTCCGTCCAGGGCGCTGGAGAACTCCCATCTCCCCAAAGGAGCTGACTCCCCTCCCCAGGGAGCAGCCAACACACCACCTCTCTGTAACCGCCTGCTCCATGCTGGGGAGTTTCTCTCTCGTTCCCCTTACTGGTCATTATCTGCCTAACATCTGCCACCTCCACTAGCCTCCTGGGTCCTGTGTTGCTCCTCTTCCACTCCTGCAGGGTGCCTCATTGGTGCGACCTGCGAGGGGTTTCCTGGCTGCCCCCACGGAATACACTGTTCTTGCACAATAACAGCATTCCCAGGAGATGGGAGAAGGGGGCTCAAATGTGTTGATTGGTCCCAAGGCCTCTGGCTTCTTCCGAGCTGTGAGGAAAGCCTGAGGAGTGGGGAGGAGACTGGGAGGCGCTGTCTGTTGGTGAGGTGAGGTGGGGTCAGGGCCACCCTTGCAATGCTGGGCTCTGTACAGCCCAGCACCGGCACCTTCCCCTGTCGGGGGAGCGGTTGCTCCATAGGAGGAAGAAGCTGAGGGATGGAGGTAGAAGTCTGCCAACTCTCCCTAGCCAGCTGGACCAGTCTGGGAGAGATGGCAACCCTGGAGCAGAGCAGGGAAGGAGGCTCACCTGCCGGGCCAGGAGAGCAGGTGGGAGGCGTGAGTGCGGGTCCGAGGACTCGGGAGGAGCAGAGGGCGGCTGTGCAGCTGGCCAGAGGGAAGCGGCACTTTCAAGGGGGAACAGCTGCCTCGCTCCAGCCGCCAATTGTGCAGCCTCCCCCTGCTCCTCCAGAGTTCTCCGATCCACACTTGCACTGCTCGCTGCCACCTGGCCAGCTGGGGCTGGACGCATAGATGCTGGAACTAGGGGTGCCCCCCTGTTTTGAAGTGGTTTCCATTCTATACAGGATTTACACTTGGGTTCACTGGTTCACAGAGAGGCTGGGGGGTGCCGGGGCCCCATGCACAGCACACGGCTGCCTAGGGCACCATGGAATTTGGGGAAATTTGGTGCCCCGCATTTGTGCTGCTCCATGTTGCTGCGTGTTTTGTGTGTGGGTAGGAACAGCCCAGGGTGGGATTGGTGGCCCCACTGGGTGCTGGAATCTCTTCCCAGGGGCAGACCAGGCAGAGAGCGGGAGAGGGGATTCCTTTCAGTAGAGAGCACTGGTTTCCCTGCGAGACTTACACGGATTCGATTAAAGGATGCTGAACCATTTCCTTTCATTGAATCCACCTGCTCTGATTATTATGAATGAGCCTTTGCAATGGGCATTGCTAACTGGGCTGGCTCTGGTAAGTCTTGGGAAGAGCCTGAGTGGTCTGCTAATATGAGTGATGCCCAACACTCAGGATTCTCCCCTTGGTGCTAGTCAGTGTTCCCTCTCATTTGTTTCCATTGGTGTGCGGAATACATTTTGTTACGTGCGCTGAGGCAGGTGTAGATGTGCACCGTGAGTAGAAACACATGCTGCCCTTGTGGGCAACTGTGGGCACTCTGCCAATCAGCTGGGCGGCACCCGAAACTCTCCTGGGCAGCCGCCTAAGCGCTCAGGTTACAGGGAATACAGGTGCTAGTAGGAATAGGAGGGCAAGGATATATCAGCCACCAGGATTTTCGCCACCGTAGAGCCAGGAGCAGGGGCTGCTTTGCACTAGCATTCCCACCCTGGTGCTAAAGCTCACCAGTGAAAAGGTCCAGAACACACAGGGTGCCCACCCTGGATTCCTGGCTTCTAATTTTGGCATTACTACAGACTCCGTGGAGACCATGCTCAAGACAACTTCCTCCCTTGGTGCCTCCGCCTCCCCTCCCCCCCCCCCGTGCAATGGCAATGGTGCATGCCTGCCCTTGTACAGCGCTTGGAGATGTAAATGCAACGTGGCATTGATCCGTACAAGCCCGTCTCACTAATTCTGCCATGTTGGTGAAGGGAAAGTCTCTGCCCTAGGAGCCAGTCCAGCACTTAGTTCAGTGCGTCATACGGAGTCCGAAGCTCTCAGCAATCCCCTCGCCCTGGTCAAAATGATGAGGTGGGCCAGTTGGGCCCCCGTCCTTGGCTTCCATTTGGATGAGGCCACGGACAGGGATTTCTTGCGGGAGTCTGTTGCTGGCTTCCTTTAGGGCCCTGTTTGTTTCAGATAGTTGATCCCAGAGCGGCTTTCTGGGCTGAATCCCATTCTGATTGATTGATTGATTGAATTACTGCCGTTTGCTCAAGTTGTTTGGCAGCAGGTCCCTTCTCGGAGGTGCAGGGGAGTGGGTCTGTGTTTGTACTTGTGCCACAGCCTTGCTTTGGGCTTGGCATGCAGCCTTGCTGCTGAGATGGGTGTTGGTGATTGTGCAGCGCAAAGCCCTCTCCAGTAAGTGCCTCACTGGGTGAGTTAGAGAGAGACAGAGAGAGAGGGGGGGGGGGGGGGGGGGGGCAGGGAGAGAAACAGATCCTTCACATTTGCATTTCATGGCCCCTTAAAAGGGGAAATGCCCCCCCTGGGATTGCGGTGCTCTCCCAGGGCACCCAGAACTGTAAATTACTGGATTACCTCTCTGCCTCAGCAAGAGAAAGCTTTGCTGGAGTGCACAGTTGTCTGTGTCACCAGCAAACTCCTTGAGAATCTGCCAGTCTAAACCTTCCCTTGCAAGCAACATCCAGGGAGTCTCGGGGCCACATCTGGTCCCTCTCGCTGGACGCACAGAAATGACCAAGTGCACTGCCTCTTAAGTGCACTGCATCCAAAGAGGCAGTGCACACTCCCGCCTGTTAGCTTGGCACTTTGCTAGATAGCACTGAGACAGATAATAGTCAACCTAAGCATCAGTTTATTAATAAAGAGCGTGGATTTCAGTGACACAAAGCTAGCGTCATAGAGATAGAAATGGTTGCAGATAAAACAGAAGTAGAAGCAAGCCCCGTAGAGTCTAAAATGTAACCGATGACAATCCTATAGTTAGTTCTCACTGTCTTCAACCCACATGGCTGAAGGATCTGCCTTTCACAGATTCCAAAAGCGCTGGTTCCTTTTGTCCCTTAAGGGAGGGATAACCAACGGGTTCTCACCCCTTCTTTTTATAGTCCAGTAAACCTCTGATAGGGATTCTTTTTAAGGGTGTTCCCAGATCGGGGTTTCTGCCCATGCTGCTTGTGCTCAAGGAAGCTGACGCAGTGCTGTCTTCCTCGTCCTTTGGACAATCTGCTTTGTCAGTTGGTTTAATCGCTGTGTTTACCTTGGGTGTCAATGTATTTTCATTCTCCGTGGCATCCCCTTGCTCAGTTTACAACAGAGATGGAGGCAAATGGACAAAACAATATTCCTCTGTCTAGGACAGACTTGTTTATCAGCTCTTCTTGGATTGTGCTTGGTCTGAACCAGCGGTGGGCAGTAACTGGCCAATGGCTGGACACTGTTTGCCTGGGTTAGCCCCTGGCAGGTCACTGCTGCCGTATTTACCTGCTTCTCGGCAGGTATGGGCACTCTAGCTCCCATTGGCCATGGATCGTCATTCCCAGCAGCTGCAGGAAGTGGTGTGCACTGGGACACCATTTCCCGCAGCTCCTATTAGCTGGGAATGGCAGTCCCCTTGCCGATGGGAGTTGCAAGGGCCTGTACCTGTGAAGGCCTAGGCAAATGATGTGGTGGTGGCCCTCCAGGGGCTCACCCTGGCAAACAGCTGCTGTTGCCCACCCCTGATCCAAACACATTTTAGTAACTTATTTTCCTCCTTCGTACATAGTTCTTTATGCACAATTGTACATACATCATGCGATGATATTCATGGCCTGCGTGTTAGTATCTTGCAGGGTAGCCTATAAGAACTATTTGGATGAATATTAGAACAGCAACATGTTACATGTAGTGAGTGTGTTAGGCCTGCTGTAGTTACAGTCCGTGAACTCTTTGCCAAAGGGCAGTGAGACTTCCTGTTGTGTTGGTCGGTCTGGGATTATGCTCACCCATGAGCAGTCTCTCTCTTTTTTTAAGGCGAAGCAACTTGGGCCACAGGGATTTGCTTTTCTGGCTGCCCCTTCACCACCAGGACTAGTTTTTAAGCCGCAATGCCCTGCACCCCAGGGACTGCTTTCTAGACTTTGGCTATTAGATCACGCTGTCCTGTAATCCAGGGGCTACTCTATAAACTATAGCCATTAGGTGCCACAGCCTGTTCCATAGACTGCGACCATTAGGCCGTGCTGCCCAGTAATCCAGGGGCCACTTTGGCCATTAGATTGTGCAGCCCTGTTACGTAGGGGCTATTTCATAGACTTTGGCCATTAGGCCGTGCTGTCCTTCATCCAAGGGATTGCTGTAGGGACTCTGGCCATTAGGCCATGCTGCCCTGCAAGCAAGGGCTGCTCCATAGACTTTAGCCATTAGGCTGTGCTTCCCTGCAGTGACAGACTGCCTTGGGTCAATGACAGATGGGGAGCAGAAATAGCGGTGTCCAAACACCCCTGTGATCCCCACCTCCTTGGGACAGAGAGTGCATACACTGCCCCACCCATGAAAGCTTATGCCCAAATAAGGGTGTTAGTCTTTAAGGTGCCAGAGGACGACTCCTCGTTTTTGTAGATACAGACTAACCTGGCTTCAGAAGCATGCTCGTTCCTCCAGCAGGGACTCGCCCACCTTGCTGCTGCGTCAGATATAACTGGCTTGCTCTGGGTGTTGCTGGATTTGGATCTCTTCGGCAAGGAGCCAGCCCCCAGCTAATACAGAAACTTGCTCAGTCCTTTTTTTTAAAGAATCAGATCTCTGTAAGCTCCCCTCTGACGATTTGGTTCCTGAGATTGTGCTCCTGAAACTACAGGAGCGTTCGAGAGGCTGCCCAGCGAGATGTTATCTGTTTAGCTTTTACCACAGAGCTCGAAGGCTGCCCGAGACGCTGAACTGGAAGTGTAGGTGTCACTCAGAACTGTTCTCAGTCAGTCGCGCGTTATAACTGGAGTCATTTTGAGACCAATGGGAAACAGGCCAGCTCAGTGAAATGAAACCCCCGTTTGTGAAATGGGTTTCGTAACAGGCCTGTCCCCTTGCATCATCTGTATAGCACTTGGCCCTTCAGCTCCTTCTAGGTTTGGGAGCATGTTCATGCTGCTCAGGGTGTTTATAGTGTTATGCTTGGCTTGCATTTCAGCTCCCAACCTGGTCTGCGGGGAACCCAGGCCACGTCACAGCCTGTACATTGCAGCTGCCGTATTCTGAGAGGAATTGCTGGCCCCTTTCGTTACAACAGGTATGTTGGAGACATGAGAGGCATTTCAGTGCTAGCAACTGGACTTATTTCTGAGGGAGACGCTGTGTCTGTGTGGGGTGACTTCTGGAACAGGCTCCTCGCCAGTGGGGATGGCAAAGCTTTAGAGATTTCCTCACGGTATAGACCACTGTAAATTGTGCCTCCAAAGTCATTCTTGCTTTGGTGTGGATTTTTTTCTTTTGGCCGAATAGATCTACCCTAGGAATGAACCTGGAGAAGTAATGTGGCTGGTGCACTACGTGGGCTTCGCAGAGTTCCGTTTGCTTCTGATTTTGACCATGAAGATAGATGGTTACAATGAAAAACTTTAAGAAGGAAATTGAATAAGGAAAAGTTATTTACTTGTTCCCCTAACAAAAGAACTAGGGGTCACCAAATGAAGTGAATAGGTTGCAGGTTTAAAACAAACAAAAGGAAGTTTTTCTTCATGCAGTCAACCTGTGGAACTCCTTGCCAGTGGATGTTGTGAAGACCAGGACTTTAACAGTGTTCAAAAAAGAACAAGCTAAATTCATGGAGGAAAAGGTCCATCAATATTTATTAGCCAGGATGGGTAGGAATGGTGTCCCTAGCCTCTGTCAGGGACTAGAAATGGATGACAGGAGAGGGATCACTTGATGATTACCTGTTTCTGTTCACTTCCTCTGGGGCATTTGGCATTGGCCACTGTCAGAAGACAGGATACTGAGCTAGATGGACCTTTGGTCTGACCCAGTGTGGCCGTTCTTATGTTCTTAAGATAACAGTTTTTATTGTACAGTGGCTGGAAATTAGGGAGTAGGGATGTAAAATCTCATTTAATTGATTAACCAGTTAAATTTTATGTTTAACTGGTTAACTGATTAAAAAGAGGTGGGCAGGGGAAACCTCCCCCCTGCCATGGCTGTTCCAACTGGTCCTGTCTTTGGGTAGCCATGTTAATGTGTACCCATGCCCAGGCTCATTGGTTAACCCGCATGGTTACTCGGACCCCACTTCCCACACTGCTGCCTCTGATCAGAGGCAGCAGCGCGGAGGGTGGGGCAGGTGGCACCCTGCACATACTGGCTCCTGTGCAGCTGACTTCCCCTCCCCGGCCCCTGTGCTGCTGCCTCTGCTGTAGGCCCGAGAAGCTGTTACCCATGTCACTGATGGGGTAGAGGTTTGTGCTTGTAACAGGTTGGGACTCGCTGCCATGGCACCTCAGTCAGTGTCTCGCCCACTGTTATCTGTGTTTTCCCTCTTCACTACCACATTGTCAGGCCCCACATCCCTCCAGCACATGGTGCCCCTTCCCTTGGGTACTGCCCCATGGCAGTGCCCATGGTCTGGGGTCCTCTCCTTTTGGGCACCCCATTACTCCTAAGCCACCACTTGCTTCGCTCTCTATCCCCTTACTTCAGGGACAAACTGCAGTCTGAACTGGCCCCTTTATCATTGGCAAGGAGGGTCGGACCAGCTGCCTATTCCTGACCTGACTGCTCTGCAGCCCTTGTACCTCCCTGGGCCCCTATTGCTGGGCCTCAGCCTGGAGTATATTTAGGCCTCAGCTCCCCTGGCTCCACCCTGCCTAGCCCCAGCATTGCTCTGTCCAAGGCACCTCTGCTAGAAGGCAGCTAGGTCCTTCTCCCTCCTTTCACGAGGAGTAACGGTAGTTCGAACTAGGAAGCCTAGTTCGAACTACCTAGTTCGTGCCCCGTGTAGCCGCGCTGCACGGGGTTCGAACCAGCGGGGTTTTAAAAATGGCGGCTCCCCGCTTGTGCAAATGAAGCCCGGGGAATTCAAATCCCGGGCTTCCTTTGCAAGTGCGGGATGCCTACATTACCCTCCTAGTTCGAACTAGGAGGCTAGTGTAGACATACCCTCTGAGTGCTACTGTTACATTTGGGTAGATGGGAAGCGCAGCATAGCCAGCAGTCCCTCTTGTGACCGTACAGTCTAACCCAGGAGTTCTCTGCTTGGTGTCCCCTTCCGCTTCCCTTGTTTGAAACCTTTGACCTGCACCCCGTCCCCTGTTTTTCATCATTTGTCCCCCATATTCAGTTGAATTCTGGGTCTAGTCCCTCCTGCAAGTCTGGGGGAGAGGCCTTTAGATTGCGTCCGTCCATCCCCCCCACCCATAATCAGGGCCTGCCCGAGCCCTTTTGGGCTTTTTGTATCCAATTTCAGGTGAGGTGGGGAGGGTCTTCTCATTGCTTATCTGGATACAATTTGGTAGTATAAATAGGCCTCTCCATTCACCCCAAATTTCCCTTTGCTCCATGTCACAAGGCTGTCGTCCACTAGCATCCCCCTAGGCCAACCAGTCTCAAATCTGACCCACGGCCCTTTCCTTGGTGGCTGTTAGAATGATCATGTGAGAAAGCACATTTGATCATTTGCCAGTGGGAAGGGGTAATATGAAGTTGTCCACTTAACAAAAGAGCTTGAAAAACCACTGCTGTAAATACCTGGTCAGGGACAAACTGCAGCTACTTCAGAAGCTCAGTTCAGCAATTGCTCCAAATCTCTGTTCTGCAGAATCCTACTAGAAATTTCGTAACGAGATTCGTGATGCTTCCTCTCTAGTCAGAAATAGTGCAAGAACAGTTTGTCTCCCACTATTGTGTCATTTCTGGTACTAGTTGCAGGCACTGCCTGGAGCTCAGAGGAAAAGAAATATGCAAAACAAACAGAAAAGTGTCATTTTTAAACATCAGCGGAGATCGGTAGCAGTAGAGATGGGCAAAAGAGTGATTTTTTTTGTGGGGAGGGTTTGTGGCCAAAACCAAAACAATTTCAATACAGGCCCAGTGCAAGGAAACTATTTATTGTTGTTTTGGGTGTTTTGTTTTGTTTTGTTTATTTTTAAATCTCACTAAATTTCTCATCAGAACATCATTTTAGAATAAAAACCCCTGAGGGTCCCTTTCCACGTCCGAATGCTGCCCCCCACCCTTGCTGCTTGTCTCCGTCCCATTCTAGTCACCACTTTCCACTCCTCAGGCTTCTCATCCCAGTCCCAGTGTCCTTCCCTAGACTGTCCCAGTTTCTGCCTCCTCTGACCTGCCTCTTTCCGTCTCCTGGCCTGAAGTCACTTCCCATCTTGCCATATTTCCCATCCCCACTGACTCCGAGTCCCACGCTCCCTAGCCAGTCTCAGCTTCGTCCCTCCCGCCATTCTGTGCCCCTGTCTCTTTGCTCAGCTGGTCCCAGTTCTGATTCATCATCAGATCCGTCTCTCTTCCCTCTGTTTGCTTCCACCACCGACTACAGCAGGGTGCTTCCACCACCCACTTTGGCAGTCCCGGGGGCTACATTGATCCTCACAGCCCATGCCGAGGGCCACAACTTAAATGCAAATATATAGCAAAGAGCTTATTTCACACTGACGGGCAGGAATACGAAGATTAAGGCAAGACGACACAACACACAGGCCCCATTTAAGTCATTTCTGCTGATGTTAATCAAATGCAATGTTTACCCGATTTCCATATGACAGTACTTTTAATAAGCAATGACAGTCCAGGAATTATCAACAGAAGACCATTCTATTGACTTGCCGTTGTGGAGCATGTTCCCAGTGGAGGCCATATTCAAAGGATCCCACCTGCAGGCCGCATGTTGAGCCCTGTGTAAACCCAAACCCCACTGTGCACCACAAACAAACGGGCCCTGTTGAGCCCCGTGTAAACCCAAACCCCACTGGGCACCACAAACAAACGGGCCACGGGCCGCATGTGGCCCATCGGCCGCGTGTTGAGTAGCCATGCACTGGATCCTAGTCCCAGTCCTCTTCTCCAGCCAATCCCAGTCTCCCCTCACCTCCCAGACTAAGTTTTCTCTCCCTCTCCAGCAGCCTCCAGGTCCACTCTACCCTTCTCACAAACTCCTGACCTCAGTCCACTCCATTCACTACCCCTTGTCCTCAGAGGTCCAGCTCTTATCCCTGCTGCATTTGAATCAGGTCGCTTCCTCGTCCATGTGGCCTGGGTCCAGCAAGGGTGTCACAGAGCGCACAGGAGAAATAAGTCCCCTGCTCTCCGTTCCTGTGCATAGGCCTGAACCCAGCCCCAGCCCACAGCTGCCAAGAGCTGCAATTGCAGGAAAAGTCCAGGTCAGCCTCAGTCTAGAGCAGGGCTGGGCAATAATGTTTGTGGGGTCAGAACTGGTCAAGGGGTTGCACTCTTCTATGTTAAAGGAGGAAGTGTGGGATCTGAGATGGAGGTGGGCTGCAGAAGGGAGCTCGGGGCAGGGGATTGGGGTGCAGGAAAGGGTGTGGGGTATGGGGGGAGTTTGTGACCTGGGGAAGGCGTGTAGGGCCTGGGAGGAGTTGTGACCTGGGAAGGAATGTAGCAGGGGGTGCAGGGTAGAGGAGGGAGTTGTGACCTGTGGAAGGCGTGTGGGAGGGGGTGCAGGACCTGGGAGGAGTTGTGACCTGGGGAAGAAGTGTAGCAGAGGGTGCAGAGTTGAGGAGAGAGTTGTGACCTGGGGAAGGAGTGTAAGAGGGGGTGCAGGGTCTGGGAGGGGGTTATGACCAGGGGATTGCGACCAGGGTTTGGTTGTGACTTAGGGCAGAGAGTTTGCGGGGAGGGAAA